GGAGACCTCGCTGTTGTCTCTGGCCTCCTCTGGAAGCTCTCCCTCATATTCGCTCGGTCAGCATCCCTGTGCTAATGGCGTCCTGTCTTCCCCTGGAGCAGAGCTGCTCTCTGAGAGCTCTTCTCATTGTGCTCCCAGCCCGCCCCGCCCCCCCTTCATGAATCCTCTACTCCTAGGAACGCTTCCCATTCCCGTAGAAGGTTCTGGAGTCCATACCACCTACTGTCACCCATTGCACACTACGGGTCACTGTAGGTCACCTCGTGGATTGAGAGTTCTCTGAGGCCTTCACTAGGGTCTGGGTGGCCATCGAGTCACCTGCTAAGCACACAGCTCTGCCTCTCCAATCCCCGGGGCCCACATATTTGCCCCTTGTTGGGCATACTTGCCCCCTTGTGGTCGCATGATAGCTAGCTGCTCCAGGCTGACGGACAATGCCACAGCAAGAAGGCCATCTTCTCCTGCCAACATTGCAGATCAGATTCCTATTGGTTCATGCAGGTTTTATGCCAGTTCCTGGGCCAACCACTTGCTGGAGATTGGCATATGGAGATTCGTCTCAGCCCTCCTAACGTCATAAACAGTATCTTGGGGTAGGGGTGAGGGACAATGCCATTGTGTACCTCACAATTTGATGTTGAGAAACCAAAAAAAACCCCAACAACCCCAAAACCAAAACAGAACAAAAACCAACAAACGAACTCCCATCAAGTCCATGGTGACTCATAGTGACCCTACAGGACAGGGTCAAACTGCCCCGTGTGTTCCACAGACTGTAACTGTCTAAAGGGGCGACTGGTGGCTTTGAACTGCAGACCTTGTATATCGCAGTCCAACAGGTAACCACTATACTACCAGAGCTCCTTTGGACCCTCCAAATCATCCGTGTCTAGAGACCCTTATGATACAGGTTCCCAGCCCCAGTTCTGAAGATTTGGGGTTCAGTGGGAATTGTTCCGTTTGTTGCTCTGATTGTGGTTGTTGTAGCTGATTCTGTATTGTATTCGGGTTGACTTTGACAATAAGAGAACTGACCCCTAACCTTCCCTAGGCTGCCATCTCTGTGAGCAAGATGAGGCTTTTTACTCCCTAAGAGTCACAGTCTCGGAGACTCACAGGGCCAGTTGTGCCCTGTCCTAGAGGGTCGCTGGGAGCCGACATCGACTCGATGGCAGTGAGTTTGGCTTTTCAAAGTCCCTATGAAAGCACGCTTAGCCTTCTTCTCTGTGCCAGCGAGCCAAACAATGGTTTTGAGAACAAGTCAGTTTACCAGGAAGCCAGCGATGCTTCATCTACAAAGCCCTTCGCTGATGTGGGCTCCTTCCCAGGCCATCGGAAGAGCCTAGCGACATCTCCCTATCAGCACATGTTTTCACACATCTTGCAGAAGTAAGAGATGTTTAACAACGATACATTATGATCAGTTCATTCTGTTTAAGAAGAACACTGGGGACACGTTTGATAAATCCCTCCGAGGGCATAGGAATTTTCAAAAAGGTCATTGGCCAACATAAACTATACAAAATCCGAAGAAAAAAAAAGAAATGTAGTAGACACAGTCATCATAGGCTCACACAGTCTCCCATGAGATCTGTTAATCATGAACTTGCTCAAAATTTACTTTGTACAAAGAATTGAACTTTATCCAAAGCATATTGGCCTTCATCCCTGCCCCACCCCCATCCCCACCCCAAGGAGAACTCTAGAACTTTGGAAATCCATGAGTAGATGAAGTGCCTTTATTGCTTAAAAGGAGCCTTCACTGGTGGTCTGAACCCCCCAGCTGCTCTGCAGGAGGAAGATGGGGCAGATTGCTTCTGGAAAGACTGATAGCCTTGGAAATCCCATGAGGCTGTTTTATTCTGCTCTATTAGGAAGCCTGGTGGCAACCCTGGGTTATTCATTGTGTTACCTGTGGGGTTGGCAGTTCAAACCCAGCAGCCACTCTTTGAGAAGAAGATGCAGCTGTTTGCCCCCATAAATATCAACAGCCCCTGCAGTCACGATGGGTCCGAATGTACTTGATGGAGGTGGGTTTGGGATATTGTCACTTATGATTCCCTTCAGAATCAACTCAACAGATAAGGGTATTATCTGACTTCCCTCCCAGACCTCCTAAGGATTGGTGCCAATGAGTAGTGGGC